CATATAATCAACAGAAAGTTTGGTCAGTGAGGCGGGCACGCCCTCCAGCCTCCATGCCCCCCCCCACCCCCCTGCCAGGAAATCTCGTTAATTGGGCTTTTTTAATGTCAGGTGGCTGAAAGGAAAGAGGAAAAACTGTTTAATGTGGCCTCTAATCCTGCCTTGTCTAGAGAACTGCTCTATAGAGATGGTTCATTTCTGATCAGCTCCAATGTTTACTTGGCCAATTAAAGGGCATTATAATTTATATGGATTAAATATATTTAGACTTTGTATCTATAAATAAGAGAATACTAAAGAGCCCTGTTAAGATTGCCTTCTGGAGTGCATGTGGAAAGTCTCTTCCTGCTTAGAAAGCAAAACAAAGCAATAATAAACATTAAAAGGCAATTATTGGTTGGTTTTTTAACATGCAGCAAAGTTCATTCTCCTTTAGACCAATTTTTTTTCTTGTTACACAACTAAATAATGTAAGTCTTGGAAGGTTATAAGGCTATAGTGCCCTAAACTGTTGTAATCTCTTAGTCATTATAGGTGTGATACCAGTGGTGATCTTAAATGTTGGAATACTTAAATGCGGAAAACCACTACAATATATATGCAAAACAAATGATACATTTTCCTATCCGCAGAAGTGTTAGCCTTCCTATGGCAGCTAGTTTATTATTGCTTTGTAGCAAGCCAAGTTCATGTACATTTATAAAACTTACAAAAGCTGTGAAATTCTGAGTTTTAAAAATTGTGGCCGTAATGCAAATAGGAAAAAAATAGGTAAGAGTGAACGGAATGAGGAGCGGGCATGGCGGTGGGGTTAAAGAGTTAAGGACAATCCCGTGAGCGGGATGTGCTCATTCTCTACTCTGATCAGTGTATACCTAAGCCAGTGTTTAGAAGCTAGCTGTACTAGAAGGACAGGGAATCCTGTCTTCTCTGTGTAGAGAGAGTCAACCGGTAATAGTGGTTGCATATCTTTTATCTAGTAGGTTAGCAGTCAAGTATCCTTACTTCCCTGTAATATCGCTACATTCCATTCAGTTTTCATAAAAATGTGCCTGTAGTTAATTGCATTTTTGTCCCTAATTGCTTGCTTCTCTCCTTGTAGGATGGGCATCCTTCTTTCTCCCCTGAATGCAGGCTCAGCTGTGTACTCTGTACTCTGCTTGGGTCAGTAAGACAGGAGTGGAAGGGAAATGTAATGCTGCTCAGTAACAATTTTAAAGCCCCTCATGTGGTTTCATCATCATTGGTTGCTTTTGACTTAAGGATGGCACATCCCGGGACTTCCGTGGGGGTCCAGTGGTGAAGAATCTGCTTTGTAATGCAGGGGAGGTGAGTTTGATTCCTGGTTGGGGAACTGAGATCCTACGTGTCACAGAGCAACTAAGCCCATAAGCCTGCACCCTGCAACAGGAGTCCATGAGCTGCAACAGAAGATCCCATGTGCTGTAACTAAGACCTGATGCAGCCAAAAATAAATATTTAAAATAAGCAAAGAAACAAAAAGTTGAAAGCCATTAAGAAAAAAAAAAAAGAATGGCACATCCTTGGGAGGTTGGGAGAGGCTGTTCCTTAAGCCTGGGCCCAGGAATAAAGGAAATTAGAAGCAGGGCCAGAACCAATCTGTGGTGGAGGTATAATTTCAATGTAAAACAGCTTTTGCTGGTGGTGGTGTATGACACAGATAATTGTGGCCACTTATTACTGCAGCTTCCCTGGTGGCTCAGATGGTAAAGAATCCGCCTGCAATGCAGGAGATCCAGCTTCAGTTCTTGGGCGGGGAAGATCCCCTGGAGAAGGGAATGGCAACCCACTCCAGTCTTCTTGCCTGGAGAATCCCATGGAGGGAGGAGCCTGGTAGGCTAAAGTCCATGGGGTCGCAAAGAGTGGGACACGACTGAGCGACTAACACACACACATTACTCCAACACAATCTCGCTTAAGCTGGTTGGTGTGGAATCTAAACGAAGTTTTTTATTTGGCCAAAACACAGCGGTGATACTAGAATGAATCACAGGCTCTAAAGTCCAGTGTCTGCTCTGTGTCTCCTGATGCCTTCTCTCTGTTCCTGTTTCTTTCTGTGAACAGCTCAGAAGTGATGACCACTGTGTTGCTATTTTAAAATCACCAAGCTTATCTAAATTAAATAGGGGTCCCTGCACATACAAGACAAATTATGAACACATGATTACAGGTAATCTAATCCAATGGTCTCATTGCACGTAGGCCTGTAATTTGAAGTCCAGAGACGCAGATTGGCTCGTCCAAGTTCACGCAGCGCGGGAGTGACAGAGTGAACCACGGAGCTAATCTCAAGGCTTCTGGAGAGCAGTTTCCATGAGGAGCCCCAGACTCCCCAAGGAATTTCGAGATGCTACAATGAGCTCTGACACAATATTTTTCTCTTCTAAACATTTGGAAAATGACTCATATATATAACAGACACAGCAGGAAAACAGGCATGAAGCAGTCAGGATCAAAATTATAACTTCTCAGTCTGTTTCTGAGAAATGAGAGGAGACACAGGAGAGGCAGGAATGCAGGCAATATTGGCCGCTTACTCTTGTTGGATCGAACAGTAGGGCTTCGTCAAAACAAACCAAGTGGCGCTCACGAACATGTGAATCTCCCTACATAGTTATTTTTCTACCACAAAAGAAAAAGAGGCAACACAAATTCATAGTGAAAGGTCACTTTCTGGTTTCATTGCAGTTGGGAAAACTAAGCCTCTCTCCTTTTGGTTGTTACAATAAATGTGTTGGCACCATTGTTTTTCACTGCCTCTCCCTTATTCACCGTAAAACAGCATGCTATTCTGTGCTTAGTCACTCAGTCATGTCCGACTCTTTGCGACCCCACGGACTGCAGCCTGCCATGTAGGCGCCTCTGTCCACGGGGATGCCCCAGGCAAGAATGCTGGAGTGGGTTGCCATGCCCTTCTTCAGGGGGTCTTCCCAACCCAGGAATCAAACCCAGGTCTCCCACTTGCAGGCAGATGCTTCACCATCTGAACCACCATGGAGAGGCCCTTAAATTTCATTTCTTCTTCCAGAAAATCAGAACATGAGATCAAAAACCTCCCAACAAACACAAGTCCAGAACTCTACCAAAAATTTAAAAAACAATTAATACCACATCCTTCTCAAATTCTTCCAAAAAACAGAAGGTGGGGGTGGGCTCTTCCAAACACATTTTACCTGATTTATGCTACCCTGACACCAAACCAGACAAAGATGCCATAAAAAGAAAATTATAGGCTAACACTGCTGATGCACAAAGAGGTAAAAATTCTCAACAAAATATTGGCAAGCCAAATTGAATAATACGTTCAAAGCAGCACATATCATGGTCAACTGGGATTTATTCCACGGATGTGAGAATGATTCAACATTCACAAGTTAATCAATGTGATACACCACATTAACAAAATGAAGAGTAAAATTTATATGATCATCACAATAGATGCACAAAAAATATTTGACAAAATGCCATATCCATTAGTGACAGAAACTGTCTAGAAAGGGGTGCCTAGGGAAATTATATCTGCTAGTGTCACATTCAATGAAAGCTTTTACTCTAGGATCAGCAACAAGACAAGGATGTCCACTCATACCACTTTTTTTCAACATAGTTTTGGAAGTCCTAGTACAGCAATTAAGCAAGAAGAAAAGATAAAATCATCCAAATTTGAAAGAAAGAAGCAAAACTGTCATTATTTGCAGATGACATGCTACCATATATAGAAAACCCAAAGACTCTGTCAAAAAACTGTGAGAACTAATAAACAAATACACTAAAGTTAGAGGATACAAAGTCAATACACAAAATCTGTTGCATTTTATACCTTTAATAATGAAGTATTAGAAAGAAACTGAGGAAAGAGAATTATTCACAGTTGTATCAAAAGAATAAGGACCAAGGAGATCAAAAGACCTGTACATTGAAAACTACAAGACTGTCTATTGAAGACATTAATGAAAGACATTGAAGAATACCCAAAATGTAAAAATATTCCATGCTCATAGATTGGAAGGAATAATATTGTTAAAGTGTCCACATTATGCAAAACAATCTACCTATTCAATGCAATTCCTATCAAGGTTCCAGTGGTAGTTTTCAGAGAAAGAGAATAAAAAACCTTAAAGTTTGTATGGAAGCACAAAAGACCCTGAATAGTCAAAATAAGAACAAAGAATAACACTAGAAGTCTTAAACTCCATGATTTCAGACTATACTACAAAGCTCCAGAAATCAAAGCATTATGATACTGGCATAAAAAACAGACTCACAGATAATGGAAATGGAAAAAAAACAGAGAACCCAGAAAAAAACTCAAATATATATGTCAATTAATTTATCACAAAGGAGCCAGTAATATACAATGGGGAAATGATAGCCTGTTCAATAAATTGTACTGGGAAAATTAGACAGTCACATTCAAAAGGAAAAAAAAAACAAACCTGAGCCACTATCTTACACCATACATAAAATTAGTCAAAATGAATTAAAGACTTGAATATAAAACTTGAGACCATAAAACTCCTAGAAGAAAACATATGCAGTGATCTCCTTGGCATATGTCTCAGCAATGATTTTTTAAATCTTACATCAAAAGCAAAAATAAAAAAGTAAGATTATCCAAAGGAAATGAAAACACTAATTCAAAAGATATATGCACTGCTGTGTTCATTGCAGCTTTATTCCCAGTAGCCAAGCTGTGGAAACACTTTAAGCATCCATCAATGGAAGAATGGATAAAGGTACGGAATGGATAAAGATAAGGCAATATTATTCACCCATAAGAAGAATGAAATCTTGTCATTTGTGAAAATACAGATAGATGGACCTTGAGGGAACATGAAATAAGTCAGGGAAGGACAAGTACGATATGGTCTTTCTTACATGTGGAAACTAAAATAACAGAAAAAAATGAAAAGAACAGAAAGATTAGATGTGGTAGGCAAGAAAGGGTCCACATATGACCCCTATTTTTTTGGCTTCAGAAGCTGGGCATTAGTGGTGCTGTTTATTGAGAGGCATGGAGATTGAAAGCAGAGACGTCTCGGAATGTGAAGGGGGAGATCCAGAGTTCAGATGTCGGCATGTTAAGGTAAGCTCTGCTCTAGACGGAGGGGCCTGGTGGGCTGCAGTCCATGGGGTCGCTAAGAGTCAGGCGTGACTAAGCAACTTCACTTTCACTTTTCACTTTCATGCATTGAAGGAAATGGCAAACCACTCCAGTGCTCTTGCCTGGAGAATCCCAGGGACGGGGGAGCCTGGTGGGCTGCCGTCTCTGGGGTCGCACAGAGTCGGACACGACTGAAGCGACTTAGCAGCAGCAGCAGACGTAAGACTGGGTCAAGGAGGCAGTTGGATAAATGAGACTGACGCTCAGAGAAGGGGTTTGGGCTCGAGTTAAAATATACTTTATGAGAATCACCACGACAGGTTTATGGAGCCCACGGCCGGGTCTTTCAAACGCTGTCAGTGAAAGGAGCTTCTCTGGCTCATCCCAGGTCCCATTGCCTTCTTTCTCAAGGTCCCGAGGAGGTAAAAATAAGAATTAATGTCTTTTTCAGAGGCTGCCTCAGCCACCAACCTTCTGATTCCCCATGAGGACCTTGGCTCACGCTCTCTCTGTCCTTGATCTGCGCCTTGTGAAGATACATGTTCAAATTTTACAAGGAATGCAGGCTGGGTTTTATTACCCAAATGAAAAATCCATTTTATTGAAGTCCAGTATAAGATGAGGTAAGGCAGACAAAACTATTTCAAAGCTAGCAATAGCTAAAACTCAACAGACTTTAATATTTCGGAATGTTATAAAGCGCACACTTTTCCTTTGTGAAGTATGATTCCAGTTGTGCCATCTCCCATACCGCAGGCCTTTAACGCCCCGATGCCTTTGATAATAGACACGCCCTCCGGCATTCTGGGGTCTCTCCAGCAAGGCCTATCTGATTTTTATACATCTCTACTTTCTCAGGTTAGAATCCTTGTGTTTTTCTCTCACAAGCCTGGTACTTTCTCTTCCTATAACTCCTATATTTGCAATTTCTATCTCTGAAAGAACTAAATAATCTACTCTTTTTTCTCTCTCTCTCTTTTTTTTAAATACTCACTTGCGTGACACAGTTACATCACTCCAATTCCTCATCTAGACTCTGGAAATAACCTCCTCACCACACCACATCTTGTCCCCTTACAATACACCCCCAATGCACAAACTTGCTGTTGCTCAGTCGCTCAGTCTTGTCTGACTCTTTTGACCCCACGGGCTTCAGCACTCCAAGCTTCCCTGTCCATCACCAACTCCCGGAGCTTGCTCAAACTCATGTCCATTGAGTCGGTGAAGCCATCCAACCATCTCGTCCTCTGTCGTCCGCTCCTCATCCTTTGCACATCCAGCTTCCATCTTGTCAGCCTTCTGATAAACCACTGGTTGTCCCCTAGAGATGGTAGCAAACTCTTACATGTGGTCTCTAAGTACCTCTTTCTCAACTCACAATTTTATCTTCCTGTTTGTCCTAAGCTCCAGTGGTACTGGACAACTTTCAGATCTTGAAATAGGCTCTTCCACTCCATGGCTTCCAAATGTCATTTTCTTTGGCTGGAATGTTCCTTCCATCGATTTCCCCATATTCATCCTACTTGTCTCAAGTTCCTCCAGGTATCTGTGGCCAAATGGTTCACCCAACAGAACCTCGTGCTTTCCCATAGCATTTATTACACACTCATAAGCATGTGTTTAATTGTGCGGAAAGGGAAGTACGCATCCTTTGCATGATGTGTCTCCAGCAGATCGCAAAACGCCTGCAATGTAATAGCCACTTGAAAGTGTATTTGGTGTGTTCTTACGGTCTGGAATTGTCACCATCTTCCTCAGGTTTCATTATAAAGATATCTTTGAAGGAAGGCTTTGTAAAAAGATGATTAGATGAGGTGTGGTGGGGATGGGAAGGAAAATTAGAGGACTGGGGGATTTGTAGTCATGAGAGGCTAGAGAAAGATCCTAACAAAGTCCAGTGAAAGATGTACTCAGGGTAAGTAACCTCAAAGAAAGAGGGAGAAATGCAAAAAGGGGATATTGACTCAGCAAGTGGGAGTGATGGAATCTAAAGAAAGAAAACCCTTGACAGACAGAATTAATTGACCTGAGTGGCTCTTGCTTGCTCTGAGAAATCTGAGAAATATTCAGAAGTCAGTCTACAAAGAGATGCAGTGTTTCAGACCACTCAGTGGAGCATCCAGGGACTTATGCGTCTGCTGTTTCCCCACATCCCAGGCTGGGAAGAGAGTCAGAGAAGCCCAGCCTGCTCTACAGTTCACCAGGCATAAAATGCCTGACGGCTCTCTCGGGAGCTCCGTGTCGACAAGGAAACAACCCAGCTTGTCAGATACCATCATCTCTCGCTGGGTCAGCACCGCCGCTCTCCAGCCCCACGCTATTCCCTGAGGTACTGGACATCCAGACCAGGGATTTGAGTCCCCACCGTGTTTTAACTTGGTGATCTCACCTCTTTCAGTAGAGGGGACATCTCTGTAAGTGCGTTGGAAGACAGAAAATCCTGCTATCTGAAACCTGTACACAGAAAATTCCTATTAGCTGCCAAAATCTATCTCAGCTATAGAATATTATCTTGTGTGTGAGAACAAAGTGGACACAAATGGGAATGTATTTATTATATACATGTTATGTAACACGTTCACATTTAAAGTACCTAGCACTACTTATGGCCAATGCTAATGATGCACTTTGGACTAGATTTTGATTCCACTCTTAACTCAATACTGGATATTTAAAACAATCTTGAAAAAGAACAAAACAAGAGGACTCACACTTCTGATTAAGGAGTTTAGGACGGACACGTGCACACGGCTATATTTTAAATGATGACCAACAAGGACCTACGGTATAGCACAGGGAACTCTCTTCAGTGTTATACGGCAGCCTGGAAGGGAGGGGAGTTTGGGGGAGAGTGGATACATGTAGCGGCTTCCCCAGTGTCTCAGTGGTAAAGAATCCACCTGCAATGCAGGAGCCACAGGAGATGCGGGCTTGATCCCTGGGTCAGGAAGGTCCTCTAGAGAAGGGAATGACAACCCACTCCAGTATTCTTGCCTGGAGAATTCCATGGACAGAAGAGCCTGGTGGGCTGCAGTCCAGGGGGTCACGAAGAGTCGGACACAATTAAATGATAACACTTATCTATCTAATCTATCTGTACATCTCTCTCCCCATTTACCTTCTGTCATCTTTCTATCTCTATCTATAAAACATCAATCTAGCCTATGTCTATTTTTATCATGTGTCCATCATTTGTTATCTATCTTTCATATATCCACATCATATACCAACTGGGGACTTCCCCTGGTAGCTTAGCTGGTAAACAATCTGTCTGCAGTGAGGGAGACCGAGGTTCGATCCCTGGGTTGGGAAGATCCCCTGGAGAAGGGAATGGTAACCCACTCCAGTATTCTTGCCTGGAGAATTCCATGCACAGAGGAGCCTGGTGGACTATGCAGTCCTAGGGGTCACAAAGAGTTGGACATGGTTGGGCAGCTAACAAGCACACATGCACACACATGCTGATTTAGCTCAATGCCTCCTCCATCTGTTCCTTTCATGAACACCACACGGAAAGCTATTCTATGTCAAATCCAAGCACATCTCTCCCCTTTTCAGGGTGGGGTATCCTCTGAGCAGAGGACTGAGCCCAGCAGGGTCCTGCTGCCCGAGGGAACGTTTGTTGGGCTGAACACTCTAAGAGGACTATAGAAAGTAGGGCAACCAGCTGATTAATACTCCTAAAACATTTGAAACTAATCCAAAGACCAAAAAGATGGTCTCCACATGTTTTCAATTTCAATTTTCTCTTCTGCCTAATCATTTTAATATCATTATCCCGAGGTCAAAATCATCATAATTAGCCTTAATTCATTTTATTATCGTTCTGGCATTATGCCTAAGCAAAATGGATAAAATGGTGATTTCTTTCAGTAAATAACATATGCTGAGAGGATTAACTTTATTAATGGTTCACAGAGTTCTGTAGTACAAAAATATATATTTTTTCAGCTACAACAAACACTGTTTCCACTGGTACCTCATTTATATCTGATAGGCATGTCAAACCAAGGAAATTGCTGTTCTACCCTCCCATTAAGAGTGAAAAGAAAGGTTAATCAGTTAAATAGACATGGTTAGAATGCTTGGATAATATGTTGCATTTGATAAGTAATTTTCAAAATGCTGGAAAAAGATTCACCCAGATTGTCACAAACGTGCTGACTCTTGGGATGAGTTCGAGAGCAAAGTTGAGCACGAGCGTGCTCTGTGCCAAAGCATTCTGGGAAATCAGCAAAATGTTTCAAATAAGGATATGGACCTCAGATGAAGAACAAACAGTGGGTAAGATATCTGGACCTTTTTTTGAACAAAGAATGCATACAAAGTATGTGTTAAGGTCCTGTGTTCTTATGAATTTTTTCAAAAAAATAAAATCTGTTGGAGATGTAAGCTCTCCTATATGATGAAAATAAATGACTTCCTGGTACTAGGTGTTGGGGCATACATAACACAGAGTGCTTTCCTGGAGAAGCTTGGAGTGGTGGCTCCTGGTATGTGATCAGCTTCCCAGGTGGATCAGTGGTAAAGAATCCGATTGCCAGTGCAGAAGATGCCAGATATATGGGTTTAATCCCTGGGTCCGAAAGATCTCCTGGAGGAGGAAATGGCAGCACACTCCAGTATTTTTGCCTGGAGAATCCCATGGACAGAGGAGCCTGGCAGGCTACAGTCCATGGGGTCACAAAGAGTAGGACGTGACTGAGTGACTTGGTTTCGATTTTTACATTGTTCATTAATGCTAGTGTAAAAATCGGCTCCCCAGGTGGTATGGTGGTAAAGAATCCATCTACCAGTGCAGGAGATGCAGGAGACTGGTGTTCTATCCCTGGATCAAGGAGATCCCCTGGATGAGGAAACGGCAGCCCACTCCAGTATTCTTGTCTGGAAAATTCCAGCAATGTA